GGAGCGTCTGCATCACGAGGGGCGAGCTGTCAGCTCTAATGAGCTCCGCGGCTCCAAAACCCCGCTCCGCCGCCCGCCTTTAACCCCTTCCTCGCCCCGCTCCGCCGCCCGCCCGCCCGCCCAGGGGGGGCTCGGCTGGTGCGCGGGGACCCCCCGAGCTTGAGGGGTGCGAGCGGGAAGGGAAGGTGACGGGAAGGGAGCGGGGTGTCAGATCCCATCGGCTGCGCCGCGCTCAAAGGCGCTGCTGGTGCCACAGTGAATATTTCACCCTCCCGCGCACTCCCGCCGAGCAAACAGGCGGCGGGGAGCAATTAGAGCGATGTTGGGGGCGCGGGAGGATGGATGCAGGGTGGACTGGGAGCTGCTGGGGAGCGGGGAGAGGGTCAAAGGCATGGGGACGGTGATAACAGGCGCTGGGCACGGGGACAAGAGCGCCCAGGGCTGTGCTGGGTGGCCCTGCTGGTGGGTGGCAGCTCCGGGAACGGATCCTTGGATTTTTCTCCTGAGCACACAGCCGGAGCTGGAGCAGCCCCTGTGACCCTACAGTGGGTGCAGCAGCCCCTGTGACCCTACAGGGGCTCTCGGGGGCAGGAGGTGGCACTGGGGTGACACCCTGGGGGACACCCTGGGGGACACCCTGGGGGCTGCTGCCTGTCCACACCGGGGTTGGGGGCATGTGGCACCTCTGTGGTGGCTTTGGCACTGTCTGACCATCCCCTCCCGCTTCCTGCCCCCACAGCTGGCCAAGGAGAGCGAGCGTCTCCAGGCCATGATGGCCCATCTTCACATGAGACCTTCAGAGCCAAAGCCTTTCAGCCAGCCTGTAAGCGTGAGTCCCTTCCTGCCCTCTGCATGCCCCTCTGCGACCTTTTCCCGTGGCTGCTGGCCCTCCCTGCCCTCTGCATGGGCACCGGCACGGGCTCGGTGGGGTGGACGTGTCCTGGTGACCCTCAGGCACAGCCTGGTCCCTTGTGCCATGAGCAGGAGGGAAATGGAGCTGCTGCACCAGCTCTGACATGGAGAGGGTTCATCCCATCCTATGGGTTCATCCCCAGCCTATGGGTTCATCCCCATCCCAGTGCATTCTATGGGTT